AGTGAATATTCATTATTTTTGTCTGCTGTAGTAGTTCATTTGATATTGAAAATTTTCAGATTTATTTTAAGCTCGAGGAATGTAAATGTAAAACTAAAATTTGAAGTACTTTTTCAAAAGCAAAAATATATATGAAAATATCAGAACTAAAATGATATGTGATTGAAATATGTGGTGGTTTTCTAAATGTTTCGATAATTTTCAGAGAGTTTTCCTAGAGGGAAATCCATACCTTCTGGCCATTACCATGGTGGTTTCACTCCTACATTCTGTGTTCGACTTCTTGGCTTTCAAGAATGGTAGTGACTTGAACACTTTTTCATGTTTACAATGAACATCTTTTTACACATTGTGTCAAAATAATTTTCTCTCTGCAGATATTCAGTTTTGGAATAAAAATAAGTCCATGGAAGGACTCTCTGCAAAGTCTGTTATTGTGAACTTTATTTGTCAGCTCATTGTCTTCCTCTACCTGCTTGACAATGAGACTTCGTGGATGATACTTGCAAGTTCTGGCATTGGTTGTTGTATTGAGTTCTGGAAAATAGGAAAAGCCATGCACATTGAGGTAAAACTTTCAATTGTGAATTGAAGTTTCATCTTGACTTTCTAGTCTGAAACTTCGGAAAAATTGAGCAATTCTGTGTTGAGACTTGGTTCTTTTTTCTTACGGCATCTAATGAGACTACGATATGGTATCTATTAAGAATCTAATTTCGTTTATGTCTATGTTTATGGGTTCACAATATTTTCTCTTCCAGATTGACAGGTCTGGTAAGATACCAATGTTGAGGTTCCGGGACCGGGAGTCATATGCTAAAAACAAGACAAAGGAATACGATGATCTTGCTATGAAATATCTTTCGTATATACTCTTCTTTCTTGTTGCCTGTTTCTCTCTGTACTCTTTGAAGTATGAACGCCACAAGAGTTGGTATTCTTTTATTCTCTCATCCCTTACCAGCTGCGTTTATATGTTTGGTAAGCATCACATTCACTATTTATCTTACTGCCCTCTCTCTGTTTATTATCATTAAGATGCAATATTAATCTTTATAAACATGGATATGAAGTTTTTTAATCAACTCATTTGGATTGTGTTTGGAGTTCATCCTTTTGGCAGTTAACATAACTTGGTAGAAAAAGTTTTTTGATTGGGGATCAAAGAATTCGATTATCATGTATTTTGTCAGAGTCCATGCAATTTGTGAATCAGATGCATTATGTTCTTATCGATAATAGGTATTGTCGTGGAAATTTAGTTATATTTCATTTTCTTTGGTGTAGGTTTTATTATGATGTGCCCCCAGTTGTTCATCAACTATAAGCTGCAGTCTGTTGCTCATCTACCTTGGAGGCAGATGACCTACAAGTTTCTGAACACGATTATCGATGATCTCTTTGCATTTGTAATTAAAATGCCAACACTACATCGACTTTCCGTGTTCCGCGACGGTGAGTTGTAGTATAAAATTTGGCATTCCTTAAATTTCGATGTCTGAATGAGATGGTTTACTGAAATGTTCTATTCCTGACTTGGTTTATATATACGACCTTTCTCTTTCGGCTTGCAGATCTTATATTTTTGATATATCTATATCAAAGATGGGTCTATCCCGTGGACAGAAAACGTGTGAATGAGTTTGGTTTTGCTGCGGAAGAGGATCAGACTTCTACTTCTATTTCTACGGATGCAGCTGAACAAACAGAAGACGTGAAGAAAACTAATTAAGCTATAGCTTGTTTAGATGGAAAGATCGATATTTTGTAACACAGGACAGTCAAAAAATCTGGGCCGAATAGTCATGGCAGTTTAGTTTTGTGTTTTCTAGTTTGAATATTTGTTTAATTCTTAACTCCCTTGATATAATCAAGATGTTAAACTGCGTGGCAGTCAACTGACTTCTTAGAATTTGTAATATTTCTTATAATTACTTTTTAAGGGCTGTTTGATAGGGCCTTTTTTTTTCCTATAGAATTCCATTTTCCACTTTTGTCGTGTTTAATAGTCAAAATTTTCTATGGAAAATATTTTCCTCACACCCCCATGTGTTCCTTTTTTCCATATTTTTGTTGAATAGATTTTCTCATCACTTCGGTGGGAAAATTGTTTCGAGATTTTATTTTTTTTGGCAATGAAAAGAAATTCTATGGACAACTGTAAATTTTATTTCCTTTAATGGATAATTTTCATGAAAAATAAAGTCAAACGAAAACCAAAAGGTCCAAAATTTCAACATTTTTCAGGTGAAAAATTATACCAGTCAAACACAATTAATTGACAATTTTCAGTAAAACAATTCTAGGCAATTCATTTTCGTTCCATTCAATTTTACTCTTGCAATCAAACAGACCCTAAGTGAAAAAAAAAGGTTTCTAGTACTCTAATGAACATGGAACTCGATATTTCTCGTCAATATTATTTATTCATGCTTAGGTTCCAATTAAATAGTGAATCTTATCTATTTATTACACATATCAAGTGAATAGATATGGGAGTATTGAATACTACGTGCTCGGGGAGAAGAAATTTTTTCGACATTTGGACACGTTAAAAAACTGTGACCTAGTACACATGTAACACCTTTAGTCGTGTTCATTGCCTCCTGGTTGGCACGAGATATCATACTCGACGAAGAATGCTATATGGAAAGATGTATTTAACATATTGGTTTGTAGGTACTGCGTTGACAACATTTCACAAGCTGATTTAACTTTGGTTTTTGTCCAAACAACTTGTGAAATGTTGCCAACTTAATATCTGTAAATCAATTTGTTAAATACAACATAATTTCATTCATGACTGACTTCTTTTGTTTATTATATGATATTGACTTCCAAGTCTATGGCATGTTGTTGACACACAAAAAGTGTAGCCCAAGAGATGAAACCCAATCGGGAAGGGCAGGATAAAGGCTCAAATAGGACCATTGATGAATGCAGTGGAGGCCCACGAACGAAACAACATCATCGTCCAAACTTGCAAGACGCCCAGAATCTGAGCGAATGAAGTGCCTTATGATCGCCCAGAGCGATGACCCTGTTCTCCCCCAAACCTTCGAATCGTCCAAGATCTTAGCAAACATAAGATATTATGGTTATCCAGAACAGTAGTTATTGAGCAATCTTATCACACTTTAAGATTCAAGGATCCCAGTTGCAGAAGGTTGAACGAGGAGAGTAATGACAATGGTTAAAGACTGCAGTTCCACGACAAGTCAGCTATCATGAAGAAAATGGGTAGTTATAGAGCAATACTGCAGTTTCCAAACGGTTTGTCACGAAGAAATTATCAAGGAAGTATAAAAAGGAAGAGAAGACATAAAAAAAAAAGACCCCAAATCAAATACTTTCAACAGAGAATATATAATTTCAATTTCTTAATTTAACTTTAAACACTTCTTTCATTACTAGTGTGCTTGCGCCACTTGGAGGCATTCTGTTTATTTCCAATTGTAAATCATCACCAATAAAACACCACTTTTTGGGACTTTGTCTCAAGAGGTCTGTTCCTTACACAATCGTCTGAACCTTTTTTAATTGTTAGCGACAACCCGCGCGAAACACATGTTGTTCAAGAAAATGTGCCTCTGTCTCAAAGCACCTTCTCTTCATCGTCATTGGACATTAGTCACTGGCGTGCTATGAATTTCTAGGAAAATGTTTTGTTTTGTTTATTATATGACCGACCGATAAAGATGTAACTACTATAAAATTTGAATATTTGTTTTATTTATATCCTCTTGTGATGTAATGAAAATGATGTCCAGTCCAACCGCGTAGTTACATGAAGATGCAGTGCCCAATTTGGATGCGGTGCTCAATTTCTAGGAAACTGTTTAGTTTTGTTTAAGAAAAATGTTATTCATCCCTAATTGAGATGTATCCCCAATTTATGTGAATGTAAATGATTGGTTCAATGATATGTGAAATTAAATTATTTATTTAATTTTACCTATCATTTAATGGCATATTAACGCCACATAGACTGTAGATACATTTTTAATGGGGATGGATAACATTTCTCTTTATATTTAATATATGTCATTGACTCCTAGTCAATGGCGTGTAGTTCAAGAAAATGTATCTCTATCTCCTAGCTCCTTCTCGTCATCTTAATTGGCCACTAGTCACTGGCTTTGGTCAGCATTTGGAACAAAATATGAATGGGTAAAAATGACGACACAAACGGGAATACTCTCCTAACTTTGAATTAGAATAAGGAAGAAAGAAAAAAACTAACAGAAAAAGGCCAAAAAATCTCTGCCATCGTGGACTGCTTGCCACCACTGCAACATTGTAATTACGTAGCCGCGACCACCAAAAAAAATCATCCACCTCCTTCCCATGGCCAAAAACCACCATCCCAACCCAAAAAATTTGTCACTAGTACCACCACCATCTCCCTAGCCACATCCCCGTGGACCAGGGGAGGAGGCCGCATGCCCAATTATTTTTATAAGGGAATTTTTTAAAAATGAAAATTCCTTTTTTTCTAGTAGAAGTTTTTTTTCCAAATATACCCTCACAATATAATTTTTTTTATCCTCCGGCAATGCCAATGCCACTAACATAGCCCCATATTGTTGTTGCCACCAGGGATGACAAAATTACTTGACTCCGACTAGTCTTGCGTTGTCCCATCCCCGTGAACATAGTCCTTGTCTCGAACACGAACCAATTATTATTTTTTATTAAATTTTATGATTCCGTCCATTTGGATCTAAACACTACAAAATCGAATGGTTAGGGACTCGGGTGCCATAAATAGAAAGTTTGTGACTCAATTGTCACAGGGATCAAAGGTTCAGGACCCCAGCTCGAACATTCCCAGTCAAATAGTTGGGGAGAATTGTCTTTATAGATGTTTCCATGTAATGAGACTTGCTCACCAAGTTAGACTCCAACTACTTCAGTTCCTATATATACAGGCAACTAAATGAATATTTAAACAACATTTGGAAAACACACAAACAAAAATGTGGATTACCATTGGAGATATGGTGGCAGGAGCAGGCTCTGTAATGTTGGCTTATACCATGTTTCAAAATTATTTCCCCGACCTCCTCAAGCCTCTAAAGCGTTACAGCCACAGAATCATGAATTTTTTCTATCCTTACATCGTGATTAAATTTTCAGAATACGAGGGTGATGGATTTGAACGCAGCAAAGCATTTGCTACAATCGAAAGGTATTTGAATAAGAACTCCTCGAAGCAGGCGAAGCATCTAAAGGCCAACGTTGTTCAAGACAGCCAGGCTATAGTTCTTAGCATGGCGGATAACGAAGAGGTCACCGATGAATTCCAGGGGCTAAAGCTTTGGTGGGCTTCTGACCATTCCGTTCCCAACAGGCAATCGATTTCAGTGTATCCTAGGGAAGATGACAACAGGTATTTCACACTCACTTTCCACAAAAGGTACAGGGATATAATCACCAATTCTTATCTGAAACATGTTTTGGATGAGGGAAAAGCGATTACTGTTAAGGAAAGGCAGAGAAAATTGTACACTAACAATAAGAGTGATAGTTGGCATGGATACAAGAGGACCAAGTGGAGCCACGTGATATTTGAACATCCAGCAAGTTTCGATACTTTAGCCATGGATCCGAACATGAAGGAAGAAATTGTCAAAGATCTGATGAGGTTTACTGAGGCAAAAGACTATTACGCTAAGATTGGCAAGCCATGGAAGCGGGGGTATCTCCTCTATGGTCCACCTGGAACTGGGAAGTCCACCATGATCGCTGCCATGGCTAATCTTTTGAAATATGACGTTTATGATCTTGAATTGACGGCCGTTAAGGACAACACGGAGCTGAGACAATTGCTGATAGATACCTCTAACAAATCTATTATTGTAATAGAAGACATCGATTGTTCACTTGATCTTACAGGCCAAAGGAAGAAGAAGGAGAAGACAGACGATGAAAAGAAGAAAGAAAAGGATAAGGATCCAGTTAAGGCGGAGGTGAAGAAAATGGATGAAAATAACCAGACTAGTCAGGTTACGTTATCCGGGCTTCTTAATTTCATTGATGGGCTATGGTCAGCTTGTGGTGGTGAAAGGATAGTTGTTTTTACGACGAATTATAAGGAGAAGCTAGATCCTGCTTTGATTCGGAGAGGAAGGATGGATAAGCATATAGAATTATCATATTGTAGCTTTGAAGCATTCAAAGTTTTAGCAATGAATTATTTGGACCTTAAATCTCATCAACTGTTTGGCAGGATTGATGAGCTGTTACAGGAAACCAAAACGACTCCTGCAGATGTTGCAGAAAACTTGATGCTCAAATCAACTGAAGAAGATGAGGAAGCTTGCTTGTTGAGATTGATCAAAGCTCTAGAAGAAGCAAAAGTGAAGGCTGAGGAAGAAGCAAAAACAAAGGCAGAGGAAGAAGCAAAAGCTAAGGCCGAGGAAGAAGCAAAAGCAAAAGCTGAGGAAGAAGAGAAGCTAAAGGCTGAGAAAGAGAAAGAAGAAAATGGTAAAGAAGGTGTTAAACTTAATGAAGAAGTGAAAGAAAACGGTGAAGTGGCTAATGGTGTGAAAGAAAATGGAGATATCTCTCATTGATGATATGAGATGAAAATGGGGATGGATTGAATTATTTGCAGCAATAAAAAGGGGCACAATAGTTGGACTGTTGGGTTCAGTTTCAGACATATCAAATATATTTTGATGCTGTATAAATATTTTATTCGCCTTTCCTTTCGTAGCAAAAATAACAAAAAAAAATGTTAGTTGTTTCATTCCGGTCGATCTGGACTAGGTTTCATTGTAATTCTATTTTATTCCAAATATTGTGATTATCTATGAAGTTGTGCTCATTAGAATAAGGGTGTGTTTGATTGCAAGGGTGGAAAATATGTGGAAAGAAAATATTTTGCAGGGAAAAGATTTGTCTAGAAAATGTTTTGCAGGGAAAATGATTTTAAGTGTGTTTGATTGGTATATTTTTCCACCCGAAAAATTTTTAAATTTTATATTCGTTTGGCTTTGTTTTACATGAAAATTGTCCATTAAAGTGATATTTTTTTCCACAATTGGTTATAAAACTTGTACCCATTGCCAAAAAGTAAAAAAAAAAATAAAAAAAAAAAATTGTTTCGTAAAAAATCATTTTTTTATCAAAGTTTAGTATCCGTTTGACTTTGTTTTACATGTAAATTGTCAATTAAAGTAAAATTTTTTTTTACAATTGGTTATAACATNCGCGTGGATCAGCTCCAATAAAATGATTTGGATGGGAAAATATGGCACATCAAACAAGTCAAATCCAAGGAAAATGAAATTGGTTTCCAAATTTCAAGGAAAAGATGGCCAATCAAACATGGCCTAAATTCTTCTAAAAAAAAAGAATGCAGTTATACGAATGTTATAATGTCGAGTTTGAAGTCGTAAATTTATGTTTAGACAGTCTCCTAAAAAAAGTTCCTAAAGTACTTGTCACTGGTAAGCAAAAAAATTGAATGTCACTTCAATAATGAAATATGACAACAAGACATGTCATATCATTTAATGTTTTCGTGACTTTTCATGTCCTTCATTAATATTTGTATAGGGGAATATTTCTTTTGACAATGACAATCAAATGATGCCTTTTTGAGGGTTCCTTTAAAATGACCTAGTCCAATGCCCAAATTTTCAAATTGACTTTTCATTCATTACATATTTTTAAGTTGACTTATTTGAGTTTAAAAGACAAAAATGCTCTTAAGTGTATAAAACAATTAAAAAATATGATTTTTTTTAAAAAGACAATACTACCATTTAGTTAACAAATAAAAACTAAACACTCCCTACTTAAAATTTTAAAATCAGCTCTAATAAAGATAAAAACTCTCTCATCTCTTCAATCTAAAAATCTAAAAAATATTGATAGCTGAAGAAAAAAATTATTTTCTGTCAATCTTTTCGAATCGATAAGTATATTTACGTATGTTTAATTTCGTTTTCATTAAATGTGTGTACGTTTTAATCGATAAATTAAGATTCGGCAGACAGATAATTTTTTTAAACACGAGCGGGAAAAAATTCATCTGCATGTTAGAAAAAACAACCGTCCGGACACCTGGATAAAATAGCCGACGGTCCGACAGTTAGATGGCTGTTAATATATATTTTTTGTTTTTAACAAGTTTATGTTCGTGAGCCGAATTTTTGAATGAATAAACTACAAATTCTGTTTTATCATGCAAATATGATGATTGTACTCCCGATTTATTATTTTGATGATTTTGAATTGGATGAAGATAATCGATGGACATGGAGATGGATGAATGACATACAAGGTGGTATGTAGACACATATAAAGACTGCATCGTACAAGGAACTGTACCTTGATATACAGAACAAGCTAAACGTCGATTCATCTACAATATGGTATTGAGACTTCAATTCAAAGAGCATTTGCTATTTTCAATTCCACCTATGAATGTTACATCTGATATGGAAGTGAATTATCTATTTGAGTTGAACAAAATGCAAATGACACTGATTTGCGTGACTTTAGTGAGGAAGAACGACGCGGAAGGTAGAAATGAACATTCGGATATAGCTGATGATAATGCAAATGATTTTTGGGATACAGTGGAGATAGCTCGCGAGAATGAAACTAATATTCCTGAGACAGTTGTTACTCATCATGACATCGCTGTGACGCATAGAATTCAGTCGGTAGTTGAGGACAACGAGAATGTAAATGAATTTACAAATGATGATTTGATTGTCTTATCCCGTCGAGACATGAGCCGGTTGGGAGCTCAGGGGCTGGAATGAGAGGACCATCATCTAATTCTTCACGTGTGGTTCCCAATGATGAAGATCTGCACGTTGAGCAATTGTTTCAAATGAAGAAAGACTTGCAGGAAGCTGTGCACCTATTGGCATTGAAATTCAACTTTCAGTTCAAGGTAAAGAAATCAAACAAGTCGTTGTTGACACCTATTTGCGTCGACGACAGTTGCCGTTGGCGGTTGCGAGCGACTAAGATAGATACGAATGAGTCATTTGTAGTTCGTAAGTATATACGGGAACATACTTGTGAATTGAGGATTTCTCAAAACGATCATAGGCAAGCTCGGTCATGGTTTATTGGTCGACAAATAATGCACAAGTATTAGGATCCATGGATGATCTACAGACCTTCAGACATTATTAACGACGTCCGGCAAGAGTACAGAGTGGTCATGAGCTACCAGAAGGCCGGAAGGCCAAATAATGCACGTTGGAGGATTTAATGGGCTCGACCGAGGAGAGTTATGTTAAATTAGACAGGTACTGCCATAATTTGGGGATAACTAATCACGGTTCCACTTTTTTATTGAGACGGAGAGCGAGAATTACTTTAAGTATTTGTTCATGACTCTTGGATAATGTATTAGAGGATTTAAAAATGCGATGCGGCCCGTAATTTTAGTCGACGGTACAACTCTGAAATCGAGATACGGGGACAAGCTGATTATTTCTACAAGTCAAGATCCCAACATCCGAATTTACCCACTTGCATTCGGTGTAGTCGATAGCGAGAATGATCCGTCAATGCGTTGGTTCTTTACGAAGCTTAGAGAAGTGATAGGGGAAGTCGATGATCTTGCCTTTGTAACTGATCGGGGTCGATATCTAATAAATGCTATCGCTGAAGTTTTTCCTGAAACACATAATGGGTACTGCATGTACCATATACAGGGTAATCTGAAGACTAGATATCAGGGCCAAAACATTGTTGCATTGTTTAGGAGAGCGGCCGAAGCTTACAGTGTCGAGAAATGTAATAAGTCTATGGTCGAGATATGAAGTAAGTCGTTCCCGGCATGGGATTATCTTACAAAAATGGGGATAGAACATTGGGCGCAGTCACATTTTCCAGGACGTCGGTACAACTTGAGACGTCGAATAACGTGGAGTCTTTGAATGCATTGTTCAAGAATGATCGAGAATTGCCAATTCTCGCAATGATGGAGAACATTCGTACCAAGCTGCAACAACCGACCAACGTGCAGAATCACATAATTGCACGAGCTGCTGCCCCGGTTCAAGAGGATAAACTGTTCAAATGCTGCAGAGGTTGCGAGAAAGTTGATTGTGAAACCGCTGGACGAGTCGCACTTCTCCGTAAAATGTGTACGTCATGTGGCATACATGGTGGACCTGACTGACAACACGTGCACTTGTAATCGATTTCAGTTGGAGAATTTTTCATGCGAGCATGCAGTCGCGATAGCTTTGAATAGAGACTTTGTAGCAAGAACATTTTGCTCTCCTTAACACGTTTGTTATTGGAGTGCAACGTATGCTGAGACTATATTTCCCCTACCGAACGAAGCCGATTGGTAAGTTTCTAACTATATTCTCACATTTAACAGTTTGTCGCTACTGGTAGTTGAACCACGTGGCCATGGGCGTCTACGTACTTCTAGAATACCCTCTACTAGAGAGTTTCCTCGACCGCGTAGGTATGGCACATGTAGAGCAATAGGCCATACTTGCCAAACTTGTACGAGTCAGATTCCCCTGAATGACAATTAGTTGAGTCTGTAATGTTATTGTTGTAAAATGAACAATATTTACATTCATTTTAGCATTATTTATAATTAATTCGTACGTGAATATTTCATACATAAATAAATGAACAAATTTCAATTTACAATATTTACAATATAACAATTCACAAAATTCAACATTAAATTGTACAATGTTTACTGATCACACTCTAATTCGTACAAATTGCACGCTAATTTATTCCTCCAAATTTGTATTCATGATTGGTTGATTCCATCAATCTTATGTCATATACTTAAAAATTCAATGTATTTAATTGCAAACATGCTGTAATCGCCCTTGCAATAGAGTAATAACGTGTTAGTTCGATACCGTGTAGCTAAAACTAAGTTTTCAAATTAAAAACAAAATATAAATACTTACGATCTCCACTGTCTTACCGTCGTCGTGTCCTGCATGATGTTTACCCTGTCATTCACAATCACACCGACTCGGGCAGCTATCAAGGGAACGATCACTGAAAGAGGCTCCAAGTTGTGCTCGAGCTGGCCTTGTGTCAGGCATAAATGATCGGAGTCGTACACTTATATAGTTGAGTCAGCAAAAACAATCTCCACGACAATCCAGTGATGATTCACGATTACTGGAATGTATATATGTGTACAACCCTCCCATGGCTTTCCCCCGAGTCTCGGCCATATCCCTACGACCCATTCGGCCATATATTCCGGCAGCACATACTCATTACCCATACGTTGAAACAACTGATGCTCAATGGTAACGACACGTACGAACTCAGTGCTCAATATGAGTCGTTCGAGTTGGTGGAATGATCTTGGATATCTTCGAGCTCGATCACGCAATAAGTCTATGGGCAGGTCGATGTGCTACATCGGGAAACATCAAAGAAAATAGAAGGAGTTATCTCATTTCATAAACAAAAAAATTATGTACACATTATAAATAACAATATGACTATTTCACTTACATCATCGGCGAGATAAGTCCCCGAAGTGATGATGTTGTGAAACCACTTATAGGTCTCCGAGATCGTCCTCCCTCCTACGTTGTGG